AAATGACTTTTAAATATTGTTTTATCACTTGTTTTTTATCATCATGTACTTAAATACTAAATTAAATGCGTTTCTTATTGGAAATATTGATTAAAGATGTTAAAATCTATAAAATTAGTTTTAATGTAATTTAAACTCTAATGAAATAATGACTTGTGATTGGTTGCTCAAAGTCCGTGAAGCATTCGTTACGCTACGTAGGTATTGAGGATTCACGTTTCAACGTAACAAAACTAGTGAAATAACAACATGGTGAGTACAGAGATAAATTATTAGTTATTATTCACTATTAAGAGATAAGACAAAACTAGTTAATAATAAAGTGAGTAACAATATATTAACTTTATCATATATTGTGATTTTATATATGTGATCATTTATATATTTTTGACAGTTACAAGAAAATTGTTACAATGAATTCTAAAATTGCACTATTATGCATTTATAAATATTGGAATAAATGGAGATAATCCCCAATATATAATAACGCAGTCAAAAATAAGTTATAATTAAATTATATATAATATATTAAAAAATGATACTACATGAGAGAGAGTACAATGAAAAAAATGCAAAAAGAAAATTTTGGACTTGTCCTATCTTTATGCCTGAAAGAAGATTTTTGCAAGGTGCCAGCAAAAATGCGTCAAATGAGATTAATTTTATTAAAATTGGAGATGAGACACACCTCTTCTGAATAACTATACCCCAAAATATATTATTCATTTATAAATATTACTGCATATGATTATAATTCATATTTATTTATATTAATACTTACTTATGATAATTTTATATTACTCATGTTTTTATTTGATAGGATCCGAACCGAAACGTGGCCGAGTGGTTTTCCAGAACTCTAATATCTACAGATGTGTGCGTATATTACGCAGTTGTGCAAAAACTATTCTGCTAAAAATTGTTGAGAAACGCGGAACATTCTTGATTGGTTCCGCTCTCGTTCCGTCGTTACGTTATTTCGTCGCATGAGTTTGCACCCCAACTCTTAACACAAGTTTCATTACCTCGGATCTACAATAGGGTTTTAAGCCTTAAGCCATAAGAAATGGGCGAATCACAGTCGATTATTCCCCTCGGATTCGACTGTAATTGGTCAATTTCTTACGACTTAAGACTTAAAAACACCTATTGTAGATCCGGACTTATCGTTATAACGTCGTTGCGCAACGATGTTATAACGATAACAAAACTTACGTCAAGAGTTACAGAATAGAGGCCCACGTCGCGTTCAGCAGACTCAGGGCCGATCTTTTGGTAAAGTTTTTAGCCTTTATTACCTGTTAGGTAAATCTGGCAATCTGCGCACGTGATTGGATAATCTTGCTACTTACCTAATAGGTAAACTTTACCAAGAAGTTGGAACAATCGGCCCTCTCAGGGTGCGGTCCACTTGACGCTACAAATGCTTCGAAGCTTTTGATTGACCAATTGGAAGAAAGAATTTTACTAATTGACCAATTAAAAAATGCTTCGAAGCCTTTGTAGCATCAAGTGGACCGTAGCCTCAACTGTTACGGAGCAGATCAGTGAGTTCTTGCTGCTATTGTATGATCTAAAAGAATACACCAATAGCAGCGAGCGCCCACGGATTCGTTTCTACACAGTTGAGTCTCTGCTGAACGTGACCGTTATTAGTGATGGGCATAATCGACCATTTTGCGGAATCGATTAAGTGGATTATCATCGATTATCCTTTTTGCTATTATCAATCGATTTATAATCGTTTAACTAAAGTTGTTTTCTTTTTTATTAACCTACTGAAAAGCACTTAAAATAAAGAAAAATTATAACTAAACTTAAAACCTTTATTTTTTTTATATATGTGAATAAAATACAACTTTTTTTATTTTTATATATTCCTGCGACTTGTCAGAAGAGTTATCAGACACCCTGTATATGTATATAGAATACAACTGTTTTTTCTTAGAATAAACTTATATAAAATAGAATTTTTTTAAATTACAAGTTTATAATTTTTATTTAAAAAGTTTAACTCCTCTCGCCTTTCTTTTTCTCTTTTGATCTATATCGTTTTTTCTTGGCTGCACTATCGCCCACCAGTGCAACATTCAGACAGTGTTTCCGTGGTTAATGGCTATAGTGTAGTGCAAATTTTATGCACGAAGTGGGGTTTTGCTACACGATTTCAAAGGAACGGTGTAGAGTCATTGGGCAAGTTCAAGACTGCAAAGCGGCTAGGCATGCTTGTCGAGCGATTGAATATGGTTGGATCTATAAGTAATAACTAATTATGTTCATTTGCTCGGCGAGTAGGCTAGCTGCTTTGTCAACTTGAACGCGCCCATTGTGACATTTAAAATTTGAAAATGGAAGTCAACCGGCAGCAGAATTAACACGATAAAATGAAGTAGTGTATGTACATTATGTATAGTGTACTACATACATCATAATGTATGTATGTACATACACTAGTGTAGTGCACTGATGAAGCACTTAGGGCCATAGCACACAAAAAAACTTAAGCAATAAAACGTAAGCAGTAAGCGAATTGACCAATCACAGTAGAGTTCGTAAGGCCATAACATAAGCAGTAGCGAATCCAACATGTTGATTTCCTTACTGCTTACGTCTTACTGCCTTAAGTTTTTTGTGTGCTAGGGCCCTTATACGCAACTGGTGTAGTGTAAGATTACACTCAATGTATCCCAAGAGAAAACACTTTTAAACGGTCTATAATAAAATTTCAACTTATCAGAAACCAATTATACCGGAATACACAGTTTCTAATAGGTCAAATGCGGGGTCTGCAATAGAAGTCGTAACAGTCGTAGAGTCTTAAGTCGTACAAAATTGACCAATCCTAGTCGATTATTCTTCCCACATTTAACTGTGATTGGTTATGCGGGGTCTACAATAGAAGTCGTAGCGGTCGTAGGGTCTCCCTACGACTGCTACGACTTCTATTGTAGACCCCGCATTAATTTTCTACGACTTAAGACTCTATGATCACTACGATTTCTATTGTAGATCCCGCAAAAATCTTATTATTTCTTCCTGTATATATATATATATATATTCCTCCATTGTGTGCAGAGCTTAAAAAACAGACGATTAATGTCCGATTAATCGATGATAATCAATTATCTTGGGACTGTCCAATAATCAATTGCTTTCGATTATGCGGCCGTCGATAATCGATTTAATCGATTAGAAATCGATTAAGTGCCCATCACTAATCATCATCGAGCGTTATATCGAGATTGTCTTCGTGGGAATGGCGACGTGGATAGGATACTATATTAAGCTGGGGTGCGTTCCAAAACTCGACTCTATCAACTCCGAATACCTTTTATCCTTGTTCAACATTCAGTGAAGAACAAGGATAAATGATACTCGGAGTTGATAGAGTCGAGTTTTGGAACGCACCCCAGGAATGTGCATCCGCCATATTGGCTCCTAGTCAGTGCGGGAAAATTCGAGCAAAGCAAAGATGCGTATCATACATACTACTTTTGTAGGATGTATAACATACTGCTTTTGTAAAAACTGAAAAAATAGCTTTATGAAATGTGATACAAGTTATTAATTATAAGTCACAGTTACTAAGTTCTTAATTATTAATTAAGAATTAATTATTTTTATTTAAATATTTAATTTGTTTTACGAAGTAGCTTCATTAAATGTCACACAAATCTTTAATTATTTAACATATTTATATAATGTAAACTTTCTAACTACGTCTTAATAAGTACAAACTATTATACATATATAGCTTTGAGAAAATATTCGAGCTTGAATACCAAAGTATGAAATGTTACTGTTAAGAAGGATATGATAAGTTTTTTAATGTTTAACAGTTTCATAAAGATATATCCTTTTAAACTACCTTCTTTTATTTTATTTCTAATCTTTGTTTATTATGTAGTTTTAATTTAGTTCTGCCTTCTCAATATTTATCGTAAAATAATAAAATCAATCGTTATATGTATAATACATATCTATTTATTGTGTTAAATGTGTATTTCCGAAATTATTTTATTCATTTGCAAATAAAACTTTGGCACTGTTAAATTGTTATGCGCATAACAATACTTTTAGGTTTACTTCTGAATTGGCAGAATTGTGTATTTAATATCGTTGGTTTTGAAAAATGCGCCAGCTGCCAGGAGCCAACATCCCAGTGAGAAATGATAATGGAATCGATGTCGAATCGATATCGATTCGACATCGAAATCATCGAATCGACGTCAAATCGACGTCGATTTCATTGTCATTTCTCACTGGGATGGCCGATGCACATTGCCACCTAATATAGTATCTTAGCGTGGATAGCGATGCGGAGAACCTCGTCTCGAGTCATAGGTGTGTACGGAAATCCGTTCGCGTTCCGTCCCACCCGATAGCGGTTTCGTATCGCGCGCTCATATACGAAACTTGAGTCGCGTTGTATATACCGGCGCATTACCGGCCGAGGCTGTACATACTTTTTCGCTCTCTCTGTAGTGTTTTGTAGCGCGAGAGAGAGAGAGAGAGAGAGAGAAAGAGAGAACGTGCGACTGCGAGAAGTGCGAGTGCACCGCTCTATGCCCTGTGTCGTGAACGTGCTGCTCGAAGTGAGCAAGAATCTCTCTCGAGTCTCGGCCGCGTTAATCTTAAGACATAACTAGGAAATCGGGGCGCATTCACGCTCACCCTTGTGTATATGGCTTCAGTTGAGGAGCTAGATCATCAGGTCGACAGCGGCATGGGTAGTAGCGACGCGCGCTCTCCCGAGGTGAAGTCGCTCCTCCCTGACGACGAGGACGATGACGAGGAGGTATGGACGAGAGTACTTTTATATACAGGGAAAGAAAGATGATCGCTTGGAGGACAGACTCGTGGCTTGTGCTGTGACATTTGTAAAATTCAGAATATTTTGAAGGATCCCCTGTGTGAGCTTGCTGATCCTTTGGTACCTTCTGGTACCAAAGATCACTCATCACTGAGAAGTATTATTTAATGATAAAAGAAAAGCTGGCTTTCTGTCCCTTTGTCTGGTACCAATATTTATAACTACATCTATGCATATGTATGCTTTCTGCTTGACTAAGATTTAAAATTATTAATGTGATACTTTTGTTGTTTTCCTTATCTAAGATCAAAATTAATGAGACATTTATAGTATCTTAGGAATATGACATTTTTCATTGCTCTCTTTTTAATTAATAATAACAAAGTAGTTACTATTTTTCCATTTGTTTTATTATTTAGGAGTTAATTAATGAAATTATTCCTTTTGATTCAGGATGAGAGCTTAACAGAGAGATTATTAGGACTTACTGAAATGTTCCCTGAGCCAGTACGTAACTTTGGATGCAATGTTGGAACCTGTCTATACACATGTATCAAAGGTAACATTACTTTCTGTCTAATTTTACAATGTGCTCTTTGCTTTCTGTTTCTTGCTTTTTACCACTTTTTACCTCTTTGCTTCTTATCCTGTTTTTGATTTCTTATTCCTTGAGATAAAAATTGACCAGTTTTGCAAGAAACAAAAAATGATTGTCAATAAAACGAATGTTGATAAAATGGTTGCAAAGAGGAAAAAAAAGCAAGAAATAAAAAGTAAAAAATGGGAAACAAAATTGTAGAGTAGGATTTAAGTTTTAAGACGCAAATATATTTTTTAAGATACGTAATAAAGCTAGCAACCGATAAAACAAGGATAATTATACATTTGTATGAATATATCTTTGCAGGTCTATATGCATATTCGTGTTCAGCCACATGGCTAGTCTTCAGTTCGTCCACAATTCTTTTCGCGCCGATTATCTTTGAGATGGAACGCGCACAGATGGAAGACCTGCAACGTACGCAGCAGAAGCAAGTCCTCTTAGGTCCTAACACAGCTCTGTCCGGCGTTAACACCACGGGTCTTCCAATGGCACCGCCCGTTCAGCGATAGGCCATTATATTACAAATTTACATGTGCATGCATACAAGGACACGTACAGAAATGCCCAACCCCAACCAAAAAAAAAATAAATTACTCGAGTTTCCCACTCATTTATTAGCGCAGCTCCGTACGTCACCAAGATTTTTATGCAAATCGTGAACAAATGATTTCTATTGAATGAGAACTTGCGTGAATCAAGCGCACGTAATTGTCTCTTTAATTAGAGTAACTCTTACAGAGTTGCGCGATGAAAAAATTTAGAGTAAATATAAATTTGGATTGCTCAATGGAAGAACATTGAATGCTACATTTGTCGGTCTAGTCTACCCTCTACACTCACACATACTTACACACATGTGTTGTTCTTTTTGGTAATTTTTTACTAAAAGCCAACATATATTGTGGTATCACATTTTATTATTAAATACGTTGCGGTAGCGGCGGTGATAGCGCTTCGTTTGACAAAAAAGAAATGACCCCGTCATTCTGTTCGCTTCTTGAATAAATGATTGAGAGAAAAATTGAGCATGCAATTATTTGTTAGATACGTTGCCGAAAACGCGGTAGTCGTATCGCGAGTGTTATTACCTTTAATATATTTCATCTGTTACATTGTAATTTCGAAAGAACAAATAAAAGACATAGTGAAATAGTGTCTTTAATCGCATCGTGTCATGTCAATCTTTCGTCATGTAATATTTCTGTAAAATTAATAAATAAAAGAGCCTTATATATCATATCTATTCTTTCATAATTGTTTGATTATACGATTTGCACTACTTGGAAAAAAATACGATTGCCAATACAAATATTGAGACAATATTAAATAAGTGTTGCAATTTTATTTATACAGTGCACGCCAAAAGTTCTAGGCCGGCTGAATGTCTCGGAAAGCAGGGTTGTTATGTTTAAAACATTTGTATTTAAAACAAATGTTTAAAATATGTTTTATACACTGTACTGTTTTAAACAAACATATGTTTTGAACAGATTTTAAACATGTTTAAAACAAGTGTTTAAATCGTGTTTTTTAAAAGGAAAATAAGGAAATACGAATTTTAGGCTAATAATATCTTTATACATTTATATATAATAATATACTTTTTTTTTTATATAATGTAAGCATGAACATATTTATATATATTAAATAACATTGAACCATGAGAATTTCAAACTAAATATTAATGATAAGGCCATTACGGTCTAGCGGGGAACTTGGATGCTTCTAATAATTCTAATATAATTAACATGTGAATTTATATACTGCGAATGTAGATTTTTATGCGTGCCGAAAATCCTTCAGACTTACAACGCAAAACTACCGCAGTAATATCACGAGTTAAATTGACAAACAATCTAACCATTTTTGATGCATATATAACGTCGGTACATAAATTCACACGTTAATTATATTAGAAGTATCCAAGATCCCCGCTAGACCGTAATGGCCTTATCATAAATATTTATATATTTTTAATATATTATATATATATATATACTTTCTTTCTCTGTTAATCTGTTACATAAAAACAAAAATTGAATAAAATTAAAAACCCAAAATCTTGATTTAAAAACTAATTTGGCAATAGTTTATATTTATTTTTGACTTATTCTGAATTTTTAGAATTTAAACTTTTCATAATAGATACCAACTTTGATGCTTTTTCTATTCCTAGTCTATTGCGTACTTTACTGTGTATAAACTATTATATCACCGAATTCACCGATGATTATTAAAACGGTCGAAAGCATTTTAACTATTAACAAAGGGGTCGCTGGAAACACTAAAAACTGTGAAAATCCGGTCACAATCGAAAAATATCTCATTCTTAAGATCTTAAGATGATCTTGAAATTAATTAAAATAAGAATAACCTATAAATATCAGATGTTTTAATAATGTAAATAATTAAATAAATGTAAATAAAATGTAAATAAAATTAAATAAGTAGTTTAACTAAAATTAAACATATTTTAAACAATATTTAAAAAAACATGTTTTAAACTGTTTTAAACATGTTTTAAACATGTTTTTTTTAAATATTGTTTAAAACATGTTTAAAACATTAAAAACATATTTTGAATAAAAAAAACACAATGTTTTGTTCTTTTTAAAAAAAACATGATTTCTATCAACCCTGTCGGAAAGTATACATTTTTGAGAAAAATGTTTTAGATAAAAATTGTAGGGTTTAAAAAGATCTATTTATTGATCTTTTCAGTCTGACCTTGAGTGGTGTCGCCAATATCAAATCAAGGTCACATCGATTTTTTTAAATTGGACACCCTATTTTTGATACCAGAATCTAATAGCCGATGTTAAAAACTTTTCGGAACACTACCATAAAGTTCATTTTCATTACGTACTTTTCGAGTTACAAGGCTTGAAAGTTACAGTACCGCCGGCATTAGCATTACGCAAGATGTCCGACCGTCGGACCTTTTGAATGTTATCCATGATCATGTCCTGGATAACATTTGTCAAGATCAAGATCATTGTGGAGATTGTTTCTCTTATTTTCATTTTTACGTAAAAATGAATTTTCAGTGCAAAAATAAAAATAAGAGAAACAATCTCCAATGATCTTGATCTTAACAAATGTTATCCAGGGTACCTATCATGGAACATGTCGGAATGAATTCCTAATGCTGGATTCACACTGCATTCGATTTTCGTCGTACGCGTTGCAACCAATCAGAAAATAGGATTCCGATGAATTTTGCTTCGTATTATCCTGTTTTCTGATTGGATGCAGAGCGTCGAACGATAAAAATCGGATGCAGTGTGAATCCAGCATAAACATTTAGTACGCACGATGTAAACGCTGTCGGATTATTTTGGTACGAGCGTATCAAGCGAGAGTATCGTACTAAACTGATACGCGTATCAATAGGCTTGGCGTCTTGCTTTTATCACGTCCATCATGCGTCTTCTGCGAATACATTGTAAATTTTTAAATATAAAAAATTTGACAAAACTTTCTTGTGCAATATTATGCACTTTCTCAAAATATATTGTAATATATTATAATGTATTATTTTTCTCCTCTACATCGTGAAAATATAGTACGCGTATTAAATTTGATACGCACTAATGCTTTAGTACATTCGATGTAAACGCACCCGTACTAAAGCACTGGTGCACATCAAACTTAATACGCGCACCAATACTTTCACGATGTAAACTAGGCCAATAAGAGATTGGCATAGATGGACTAATTTTTGATTGGCTCGATATGGAATGGCAGAAGTCAATCAAAAGTCATGCTGGTAATAGATGATAGTACAGCCCGAATTCTAATTGGCTTCTACTTTCCTACTTTTTCTGCTTTTCCGTTCTAGTTGCGAACGCGTCCTATGACTTATCGTCCTGTAAACGCCATTTTCTATCCAACTAGAACTTATGCCAGTCTCTTATCATAGTGTCTCTATCTTGTATCTGTTTGATCTATATTTTTAGTTCTAACGGAATATGCCAATAAAATGCAAGCGTTCATTGAGCAGTGTAGTACTAAATGCACCCATAGACCTCTTATACATCGAGCACATGTATAAGATGCTTTAGTCTGTAATAGTGCAGACTCAAAGGAACACATGATTGCATCGATTTTTGTTGTCACTTCGAGCATAATCTTAAAAAAGGATAAAATTTACTTAATAAAGAATGAATCCAGAAAGCAAACTACAATTTCTATTTTAACATCTATTTTACTGGCATCCATTTTACAATTTTACTTAATAACGAGACGTATACAAATTTAAATTTCTTCTCAAGAAAAAATGTTTCATATATAATTATATAAAATTATACATAATTATATATAAAATATGTCCAAATATATATGTAGATATAATTTTATATAATC